TCGTTTATCCATGCAACAGCAGGTGGAAATGTATTATCAGTTTTCCAATAAGTTGAGGTGGTTTTTATCAATCGCCGTGGCTGAAGAAATAGTAAGACAAGATAGAGCACATTTAATAATCTCACTCTCTGTATGATTGTAACGAATGCACATGCCTATTTTTGAAATCTGACATTTACCTTCTACGCAAACTTTTTCGCGAACATGGAATAAGAAGCTAATCCCTGACGGAAAAACTGTTATAAATTTAAAAAAGCAATAAAGGTTAACGTCTTTATGACTGCACTAGACTTGTGGCATCTTTCGGTACTAAGTAAGCGTCCCTGCATTTACAGTTATATTCCAAAATAAAGTAATGTAGCTTGCGATTTACATAAAGCAAAGTTAACTAGATTATATCATAACTATGGTTAGATCAACAAAAGCATACATGATAAAACGCTGTACAACTAAATACATCCCTAAAATAGATCGTAAGTGCCATTTAGGAAGACGAGGATGAATATCAACTTCATCAACAAGTAATTGTTAACTTTTTTATATGAACGTCTTCTAATGAAACTAACAGCAACATCATCTTTTTTTATTCATTAAACAACAGACATAGTAAGTTTTGTGTAAATAGGAGATTGAATTTTAAAATGTCAAGGAATGAGCGGAAACGGCAACAAAGTCAAATATTTATGATTTAAACATTACTACTGATTACGGGTTCGAATCCACTTCCTTCGACCCAGTAGTCTTATGAGCACTCAAACAAATATTGTGCACAGCCTAGTGCATAAACATTTGCCGAGTTGTCGCATTAATGAAATTTATTATTCTACATCAGCACCTAGTTTGAAAACAGAGAAGTTATACAGCAAATCAACTTGTTCAATATACTCATGAACTAGAAAACCCTTAGCAACTTGACAATTGAGAGTTTCAGAGTGCATACAAAAACTTTCTTCAGAGTCAGATAACACAAACCACATCTGAAATAGTTCGAGTATCTGAAGGAGGTGTCGTAGATGAGTGCAGCAATGTGGATTCCTGATATGTATGGATGTAAAACAAATCATTGTAGGTTGAAGATAGAGTACTGAGACAAATACGCTGATGACGTTAAGGCGTGGTATGCGATAATTGTAAGAACACATAAGTATTATAAGGCGTTTCGTGGAGAAAAGCAAGTGCACTTGCCATCTAATCGACAGAAGTTCTGAGGGCGGAAATGAAGAAGGTGGGAAGCAAAATACAACAGACAAACGGAGAAGCAACAGAAATTGAAGGTCAACTCGTCTCGGATGAATATTTTCACATTGTAATTTTATCAGTTTTCACCTAAATGATTCCTCCTCAATTGATCTTCTTGATGTGTGTAGCAGCACACCACCAACTGTTGTCTCATCTGATGCAGATGGGATAAGTAATAAATAAAAGCGTAAGTATGTAGTCGCTGACCGACAAATGGATGTGAGGAATGCTTTTTGTCAAACAGCGCTATCCTATTTTTCAAAGAAAAACTGTCTTGTAGTATACACTGAAATATGTTTATGTGATATCCCTTGACTCTTTTTATATACTCAGCTCTCTAAATGCTTATCTTATAAAGAAAGCTCGACAGATATGCTTTGTCGCCTCAATCCAACTTAATGTCATATTCAAATCTTAAAGAGGAGCCTAATTTCTAGCTAAATTTTAGGCTCAAATAAACACTTTTAATAAGTGTTTAACAAAACCCTAGAATTATTTAAAACCAGAGGAAACCAGACACTTGAAACAGTATTTGTGACCTGGAAATGTGATGCAAATAGCACATAACGAAGTTATGTGCTAGATAGCTAGTACATCTGAGTTCTGGATATTACCCCACAACAAAAACCACAAGTCACGTCCTTCTTGGGATAGTTCTGAATAACAGGTTCTACTTAGTACCAAGTGCCAAAATTAGTTCACAATTATTTTCCAACTCTGCCATTGGCAAGATATCCGACAAAAATAACACGGATACCCTGCTCAACCATGTTTTTTCAACTACCCATAAATATATCTGCTACGATTGCGGATATTGGCGATTCCATTGCTACTCCATCTCTTTGTCCATATATTTTGTTCTGAAACTTAAAGACTGTGGAGGTCAGGCACAACTATTCGCCTAATATAATTTCATCAACCGATATCTTAGTTCTATAAGTCAATATTTAGTTGGTTTCTGACTACCCCAAGTGTCATATTGATTGGTATTTTAGTATGAAGACTTTTTACATCGAAACTTACCATTTTTCCCATCCTCTTCTTTATGTAGGCCAATAAGTCTCAGTTTTGACTCCTAAGAGTTTACTAGTCTAGAATTTGAATGGTTACTAATAGGACACAATATCGATGCTAAGTACTTTGATGGTTCATATACTGAGATGTTTCTGAAGTCAAATATGGGTTTATGAACCTTAATAGTGCCATAAATTCTGTTAACGATTATTAGTTTCAAGCACTAAATTAAACCATCAGATCAGTCGAAGATTTCTGAATTGTATTCATGACAGTGTCCAAAGGCTTCTTGATCTCTTCATATGGTCCTGTTTGGATATGTTCGTCAATTTTGTTGACATAATCCAATCTGTCAACAACTACTGCTGAATTAACTTTAGCAGACTTAGCAATTACTGTGTTATTGCCGTTTCGCAGAATATTCGGAGCTGAATTTTGAAGCTTTGTTGCCTCTTCTTTTGTTTTTTCAGTGTTCATGTACACTGTGCAGTTGAGTGAGTTGATTACGTTGCACATCTTTAACTCATGTCTCTTACTATCTACCTCGTTGCGCAATATTAGTTGAAGTATATTTAGACCGACAAAACTTTAGAGGCGGTTACACTAAAACATGGCATCAGTCTGTTGGAGACTAGGCAACATGGTTCAAAATAGATGTCACTGACCCAGATACACTCAGGCATTGTCTTCATAATAATGATAATACCCCATTACGTTCCTGTTTAACCTGTTTTCAAGACTTTTTATTCCTGATCTTTAACGCTGATGTATGACAACCCGGAAAGTTTCGAAATAATGCACGTATCGTGCTGGTAGTGGTACTCATTATTTTTCCTGACTTTAAATTGCTATGATAACACTTAGTGTCTTGTTTACTGCCTGTGAAGTAACCAGTTTTGGGTGAAAATAAATAAAATAGTAATATACAGTACAAATGAAAAAGCTTTCATCAAACAGTATATATATATATATATATATATATATATATATATATATATATATATATATATATATATATATATACTCAGATAAAATGACTGCAAATGTGCGAGCTCACTTCAGCTTCAACATGCACTATTCCATCATAAAGAAGATTGACTACACGAACACCTGGTATTCCACGAGCTTCCTGAATAGTTGCACCACGGTGTCCAATAGCAAGACCAATCAGATGTGGCAAAATTCGGAAACGGCATTCGTAACCAATTATCATCCCACCGGGTGCTTGTTTGTCGTTTGAAGCAGCTGCTGGAATGCTTATAGGCTTGCAATGCATCGCAGGTGCGTCACCATCTTCCTCATCAAAGTCAGCATTAGTAGATAGCTCTAATTCTCCAGTTTCGCCTTTGGATAGATTACGAAGCTAAAAAAACATTCATGTGAACCAAAACGGGTGATCACTTACTGACCTGTTTAGTTACAACTGTATTAAATGTAAAAATAAAACACCTCTGTAGTCCAATTTTACTGCATTCAGCAGCAAAGACAAACTTCTTCAAATGTTAATCGACTACGAAGTGTAAGGTGGGAGAATTATAAATGGGAATGCAATAATTTGCTGCACAGAAACTGAAAACACTGTTACTGAGAGTAATGTAATGACAATAAGATAACTCTTGTTGGGCATTTATTTCTTTTGATGATGAATAATATGACTGAGCTTCCTGTCATAATACATCGTGGATTTCTCAAAACAATCATGGTCAGTACAACAGCGCAATTTCATGCAGTTAAACTATGAGTAGGTTGTTGTTTGATGATTAATGGTAATAGTAAACTGACCAAATCCCTATCAGTTGACATTTCATCAGTGAACCACTGGTTGGAAGCCGAATTCACCAAGTCAATTCTAAAGTTTAAAGCGTTCGGGAATAGATCAGAATAAATTACGCTTATATAGTTACACTGATTAAGGCTTTAATCTTATACTCGAATCACATATAACTTTAGACTTTTAAACGAACGTAAAATGTGGAAAGCTGTTCAGAGCTATAAAGATATTAATTCCTAAAAGACTGGTATGTTCTTCATGCCTAAAATGTACCAAATTAATCAATAACAGTTGTGCATTGAGTCACTGAAGTTTCAGTAGAGTTAATGATCTTTGTCATATATTTTTAAAACTAGACCCAACCCTTAGGAATAAGAACGCGTCAGTACACGTCTCGTAATTTTTTCTACAACAGAAACCTTGGTTGAGCTACTATGGGAGATAATACGATAGACGTTTCACTCAAACTGCAGTATCAGGAATAAGGGATAATAGTTAAACGCTGATAGTAGCAAGCACCTAGAGTAAGACTTACCAAATGATATCTGACAGCCAGCAAACGAACATGACCTAATTCCAAGAAAGTTGCGCGCCGAATAGCTTCAGTAGAACCAGACCAAATATGCAGTAGTACAAGTGGTCCATTAGTCCCAGGCAGACCTGTCAACAATATATTTGGGTCGGTTATACCAGCCGGACTTAATACACCAGCGATATGTGGAAGATTCATGATTGCTGACTGTGATATTAAAGACGGTGAGGGCCATGTGTATGTAGATAGACATAAAGATGGGCTCACTGATCCTGAATCAGCGTGAGCTGGAGCATGTTGACCAGAATCACTAGAGTTTTCTTTGTCACCTAATATAAGTTTCGCAAATGTACCGGGTAGAAATGGTTCAGAGTCACACTGAATGAGACATGGGGCGCCGCAAAATTTGGCCAAAGTTGAGTGCGATTCTGGACTGGTTGCTCTAAATAGAAAATTATATGATACAGACAGTTATCACAATTAATAGATACATTATTCATCTAAGTGGACCGGATTTACTACATTTGCCTCTCAAAAGAAAAACGTTTCACTCACCCAAATCAGTGCAAATTTGGGCAGAAGTTGCTAAGCCAGACCCGTTGTGTGCAAGCTAGTGACACAGAACACCAACTAGCCACCTCGTCATATGATAAGAGGAAGATTTATTGTACCGAATATCCCACCAAAACACTGATCATTCTTGTTTTTAAAAGTTTTAAAAGTGCTCATAACTCAGTTTTTATTATCACTATCATTTCAATGAAAACTAGAATGAATATCAGCTCCAAGAAATGGACTGCAAATAGAAGTCGTTATAGAAGCTAAACAACCTGTCAAGACGAGGGGAAGGATGAATGGGAAACTGAGGAATTTAGTGTAACGATTAAGATTAAAATAATGCATGAATACATCTACTCCATTGACGATTTTGAGCCATGTCACTCCCAACGGATAGTCTGGATGTTCCCACACTGCTCAGGTCAACATTCAAAAGTTTCATGCAATTGTGTCATAATTTAGTACGGCCACCCCGAGCTTATTTCCAACCTGAACATACTCGGATTAGCATTACACGATGATGCAGACGGTGACTAGGCATACGTAACACACGTCCTAGCCACCTCAGTCGATGAAGGTTCACAGACACATCAACTAACTGACTTTTCTCTCCTCCCTAAAACTCGACACCTAACTTCTACTTTACCGATGTAATGAAACCACGACACGGCTTACGCCAAAAAGACAACGGTGATTAAACAACTGAAGCCTTCTCATTTTCTCTACCCTTAATGGTCATATTTCACAGCCATACAGTAGGACTGAGTGAACGGTAGCACAGTACACTTAACCCTTAATCGATAATTGAATATAGCAGCAGAACCACAGGTCGCGTAAGTTGGTGAATGCTAATCAGGTCTTTTGTATCCGTGCAGAGATTTCGTCAGGCACTAACCCATCAGGGCTAATCCGACTTCTCAGGTAAGTCAAGTGGTAAATGCACTCAAACACTTCAATCTACATTGTTTGTTGGGAGACTAAGGAAAACCAGTAGTCATGGAGCAACAATTTGCATTTTAGTGGCGTAAAGCGCATCTCAAACATTCTCAAACTGCTACTCAAGGTGTCCAGATGACTCTGCATCTTGTCAGTGTCTTCACATACCTTGACCATGTCATCTGCATATTCTAGTTTTAAAAAGGATTCTCTTGCTATCAGACCAATTCCTGTGAAGTCAGATGACAAGGGGGAGACCACCATACGGATATCTTTGACAAAACTGAACAACAGTGGAGAGTTGGAATCCTTGACGGCCACCATTAAATGAACTCAGCTTACCTGACAACCCACCATAAGCGTCTACATGACCACGAGTGTTCGAGTAAAGAGCCTTCAACCGAGTATCAAGTCAGAAGGCCTCTCTGAAAGATCGTGATCAGTGGTAAAGTAAAAGGGGAATGGGGAGATTGAGCAACCCTGTCTGATGGTCCGTATAATGAACCCTTACACTCTTGGAGATGTCAGTTAGCTTTCAAAGAATCTCTTCTCTCTTTCTATACACAATTCTAGAATGTAACCTTGTCCAAAGACTCCAAAAAAAGCCTCATGACAAAGACTGGTTGTTGGTCACCAATGCTTGTGATACTATGCATGAGGGTGAACGCGCGACCGATGTGTCCACCACTTGAACAAAATCGTGTCCATTACTCCAGAACCAATTCATGTTTTACTAGGTCTGGAGAGTATACAATAGCAGCTAGTTATATGGATAAAACTCAAAATTATTAATATTCCAATCACTTTCATACACAAAAAATAGACCTTGTTGAAAGATGGGTATTACAGTGATTTAATAACTCTTTACCGGTCCAATTTTCCTAACTAGAGTCCTGCTTTACCCCAAAAATGTAGCCGTACTAAGTTGTTTACCTTCCTGCATGTCAGCACACACGGTCAATAGGAAAATAAAAAGTTTTAACAGGTTAGTGAGTTGCACCTTAGTAAATAGGAAATAGATGGTGTAGACACAACATTACATCGATTCAATCTCAATCTCAAGAAAGTGGAGACACAGCCCACTGGACACATGAGATCAAGAAGGGGAGCAGATGTAGCTTCGCACCGCTCACTATTTAGTGCAAGGAACCTACCTACCTACCTTCAAAAACAAGTTGAAAGCCTGCAAAGAAGTTTGTGACAGACCACAGTTCAACACAGAGAAAAGAAACTGAAGCACGAAACTACAAGAGACATCTTCACATCAGCCATCACGACAAAGTGTGGGACTTTGTGCAACATAGCTGATGAGACCTGCATCGAAGAACACTGAAAGTCTTTGAAAGAGACGTGAGAAGAAACCTACATAACCGTATTAGGAAGGAAGAAGAGGCAGGACAATGGAATGGATCTCGACGGACACATGGAAGGTTATAGAGGAGGGAGGTGAAGATGGTGAAGCAGAAGATGAACCAATGCAAGGATGTGCAACGAAAAAAGGAACTGAACACAGCCTATAAGACACTACACTGGACAAAGAAGTGAAGAAGAGTGCACGGAAAGACAAAAGACACTTCTACAACAAACTTGTAAGTGAAGCAGAATGGGCTGCAGGTAGGAGAGACTTGACAACACTATATCAAATAACCAGGTTACTTGCTGTCTGAGAAGAGATTAACGCAAACGAAGGCAATGAAAGATAGTGAAGGAAACTTAGCTACCACCAAAGATGAGATATGAAGGAATTGATGGGCTGACCACTTCTGCAAACTCTTGAATCGACCACCACCACCACCACCACCACCTGTAACTCGTCCAGAAATACCACCAGCAGTCCAGCCACAGAATTACCAGTGAACACAAGCCCTACGACAGAGCAGAAGTGAAGTCCTGAATGCCATAAAGTTGCTGAAATCTGGGAAAGCAACAGATGAAATTTCTCCAGAAGCACTGAGAACAGACGCAGAGACAACAGCAGCGGACATGCTCATACCACTACTGCAGAAGGTTTGGAAAGAAGGAAAGGTACCTGCTGATTGATGAGAAAAAGGGCTACCTTGTCAAACTTCCAATGAAGGGCGACCTAAGTGTTTGCAAGAACTGGCGTGGAATCATGCTGCTGTCCACCCCAACCAAAATATAAGGCCACATCATTCTGGAGAGACTTAAAGATGCGTTGCATTCAAAATTACAACCAGAACAGGCTGTCTGGCCTCACGAAGAACAAATGTGCCGGTGAAGTTGCAACGCAACGCTTTGCTACGCATTATCATGTAACAGAGTATAGGATGCCAGTCAACTCTGCCTCAACTTCGACAGCGCCGACCGAGAAGTAATTTTTGGAAACTGCTTCAACACTACAGCTCTAGTGCTACAAACCTTTATCAACTTCATTCAACAGCTATATGAAGACACCGCATGACAAGTGATTCACGATAGAAAGCTCAGCGACGTCTTTGAAGTGAACACAGGAGTAAGACAAGGCTGCCGCCTACTATCATCACCGATGACCTTCCTGATTGTGGTCGACTGGACTGCATCATGCAGCAAACCATGAGGAGCGGGAAGACGGCCATACGCTGGATGGACCGATGAAAAGACCCTAGAAGATTTGGATTTCGCCGATGGTGATTTAGGTGTAATGTCTTGTCGCACAAACTCGAAGACCTACAGGTGAAAACCAACAAGTTGACAGAAGAGGCCAGGCAGAGAAGACGGAACTTCAAGGGAACGTAGAGAAGACAGAGGTGATGACGATACACAACGTGGTCAGTGCTTTTATATGGTTCAGAAGCTTGGTGCATCACGTAAACCATTTCCAACAAACTACAGACATTCATCTACAGCTGCCGCCTACGCTCACTCGATACTTAAGATGGAGATCAGATGGCCAGAACATTAAGAATAAGCAACAAGGAACTCTGGCCGGGCAACGAACCAACCAACAACCTATCGCCCAACAAATATGCAGAAGAAAGTGGAGATGGATTGGGTAGGGCATACACTGAGAAGACTATTAGGGGACACCACGTACCAGGGAAAGCCCTCGAGTGGAACCCAAAGGGGAAACGACAAGTTCGGTGTCCGACGGTGACATGGAGATTGTGTGAGGAAGAAATGAAAGCCTCTAGGCAGTCATGGAGCTAGGTTGAAAAGGCTGCAGAGAACATAGTGAAACGAAGACGTGCTACTGAAGCCCTATGTTTCACTGGGAACCCAAGGACAAATAATATAATAATAGATGGTGCAGACAGGCCTCTTTCTAACTTGATGACGAATGCAACATATATGTAAGACCACACACTATGAAGTGACCTTCCTGTTTACATATATGTGACGATGTTCATAGAGGCGGATATACCTGAACAATCAGCATGCTAGCGTAGAACACCTAACCGACAGAAGCTTTTTAGGCATAGTGATCGAACTTGCCTATTGCAATGACCCAATGAGATAATACAGACAAGAATAATTGCCTCTTGAGGCTTTACCGTACCAGTAAGGTTTAGTAACGTAATGCTTCGACCGGATGTATTTTCCGTCTGTCTAAAGAAATCATGTTATGGACGCGATAAAAAAGTACTGCTGGTAATATGGAGCTAAACATCGGTGAGGTGTCTCCCGAAGACGATCAACATCCCATGATAATACTGCCTTTACTTTATCAAGAAGTTAGGAAAGGTCAAACACAGAAATAGCGTGACTCTCTCAGTCCCAATGGTGGTTTTTCTTTAGGTAGGAATGTAATAATTTAATCGAAATCCTCCCTGAAGGTTGTGCGACAGACTTCAAGACTTCCTTGTGGTTGTGTGAAAATAATCACCTTTCAACCTAATTTGCCCTACAGAAACCCTCAACAGCACTCGAAACCAATCTGATCACTGATTACTCTGATTACCGTTCTGAAAAGTGGCCGAAACTTACGTACAGGGTTCGTAGTAATAAGTCCGCGAAATCCACCTTCTCCAAATTTAGATGTTTACTTATCATAGAATAGCATTAAGTGGCACCGTAGAAAGTGAACTCGATACGAAAAAGGTACAAGTTTTCAACCACAGGTAACTTCATTGCACTGCTCGCGTGTGGAAGAAGTACTGTGAGCATTCAGGTTAGACAAAAAAGGCAAGCCACTGGAAAAGGTTGTGAACTCTCACCAACGGAAGTGTCTTTGATAAGTTTCATGCATACCGAGCAACCGCTTACCTAGATGCGAGATGTTAACCAAAGTAGGATTAGTTTGGAAGACTGTCGTTAGACCAAGAAACTGTGTAAGATGAGGACTGCTTGGGTGTGGTTCTCAGGAAGATAGAGATCAATAGTTGGAGACTCTTGTTAATAAGCTTCGAAATGGGATACCAGAATGTATTCTGATTTTACTCACTTCCTCTTGTCTGCTCGCTGTGAATTGTAGCAAATCAATGCACAAGTCTATGTACAACCAACAATGAAATTGCGAAATGCCCATGTAAAAATGCAACTGCTACTTTTAATCTATAGATTTAATTTAAGCAGGCAAAATTGGTTTGCTTCTTAATAAGGGTACAAAGTTTACTCTCTTAAATGTACAAAATTGGTAGGGAAAACGAACCAAAATGTTTACAAAGAAAGACCTACGTCATTAGAGAGTACGGTACATGCCTACAGTGATACTAAAGAATTTTATTGACAAATAATTACAACTTAAACACATCTAGAAAACCATATAAAATCTCAACTCACATTCGAGATAAATAGGCTGGGATGCAAATACTATGACGATGAAGTATACCAGGTACTTGCAAATTAGCTGGTTCGACTGAACTTTCCTTCATGAAGCTTGCTGTCAAGGTATTTGCTTGAGACCGATCCTCCGGACGAACGGTTGAAATTCTACCATTCCAAGGGACTCGGATTTCTGAAACCCTAACAAGCGTAGAACGGTAAGGTAAAACAGAAGCACCAAGTCCAATTAAGTGAGGCATAGCATGTGCAGTAGGTTTGTCCTCTACCCCAGTAAACTCTTGCAATGGTGCTGCAACCTAGAAAGAAAGACCAGCTTATATTAATATGATTTGAAATGTGCTCAAAAGAGTATGATATTGAAGGAAATATATTTTTGAAGTCAGAATGAAGTAGAAAATGGATTTCTAACTCTTCGCGACCTAGTGAGAGCGACTTCGTCAGAGGATAAAAACTCGTGTATTTTTAGCCAGTAAATGGAAAAAAATCAGGTTACATGGTTCATACATGCGTATAATAATTACAAGATGGGATTAACTGTCGTTATCATCAATTGACCTTTAAATTCAAGATGAATATGGAAATGTGTGAATGAGTTTAAGAATAAATTAAATGAGTTTAGTTTGGTTTTGTTAAGCATCAGTTCATTTTTCTACTTTACTTGGGTTTGATAGATACCACTCACCCAGTGCTGAACTAATTTAATTCTACTAGATCAAATTTTGATCCTGGTCTACAATACCATGATGGTACGAAAATGTTAAGGGGAAAGTGATTAGTTGTCACTTAAAGAATTGAAGTTGCAAACTTGTTAACTTGAAGTATCAACTGAAATAACCCTAGGTCTCCCCAACATTGTGTGGAATAATCTACTCCCTAGAGGGCATCTGATTGACTTAAAGTATGCAGACGATAAATTCCCTATGGTTAGAGGCTGATAAAATCCAGGGTCTTTTGAGTATGTCTAGTTAGCATACGTTTCGAAAATGTCAAATGTAAGATGATGCTTTAGGAATGGTCTGGAACTACTCCCAGATTAAGGATAGGAAGTGGTTGGATGTTTTGACCATTTCACTCACTTGTGTCAGTCCGAATGGGCTGGTTGCTGATGAAATCTAGGCTCGGATACAAGAGGTGCGTTTGGCACTTTCCAGCTTGCGAAATCACTGGTACCGACTAGTGAGATACTCGATCACTCATTAAAGGATGGGTTACGTCCGTTCTATCCTGCTACACAGCTGTGAAACGGCCGTTAAGAAAAGCAGCTATTAGTTTTGATCGCAGGTCTTCGTAGCACTCCTCTTGTATGGCGGAATCACCATATGAGCAATACTGAGGTCAGGCGAAGGGTACTAGTCAGAAAAGACAAACCAGTCAGCGAGGCTGTGAACCTTCATCGACTGAGGTGGCTTGGACATGTGCTGTGCATGCCAAGCTATCACCCACCACTTGCGTGTGTCCGTATAGGTTCCCCAAGGCAGTGACTTACCACGGACGATCTAACTTCTTCAAGAAGTAAGCTAAGCAGCCAACCATTTTACTAGGTATTGTTAGACAAAGCATCAAAGAAGAGCATTTCTGGAGTAATAATCTGCATTACTAGGGTGAGAAACACCCCCAAACATTATCGAATTGCCACTTTAAGTGTCCAGAAGACTGGATTCTCAGTTTTTCATCTAGCACGACTATGTCATCTGCATACACTGGGTCTACAAAGGATTCTCTTGTAATTAAACCGATCGTTGTGAAGTTAGATGAAGAAAGGGAGACCTCCATAAGTACGTCTTTGTTAGCTGAATGTGAACGGAGATTGCACATCCTTGACGGACACTACTCGACGTACACAAATCACTTGATAGCTTAGCAAAGGCTCTGACACGCCTATGGGTGTCCGAGTAGACTTCGACAGTGATGTACTGACTCGGAACCGTCTTCCATGAGCAACACTGTCATAGAACTCTTAGTCGACAGAGTCAAATACTGAATTCAGGTCAAGAAATACAGCTAGTGTTGGGCATCGGTGTGTGCCTGTGTTCGAGAGCCTGGTGTAAAATGAGTTTCTAGTCGACAAACCCACGGCCACGTTTGGAAATTGCCTGGTTTCCTCAGGTTCACTATTCCCGAGTTTGTCATACTTTCGATAACTATAGAACCTAGATACTATGTTCATGAGACCGATTCTCTTATGGCTGTCACAAGAGAAATTCACACTTTTCTTGAAGACTGGGACAATCTGCGTTATAGACCAGTCAAAGAGGGCCATATCTGACTCCAATACAGTAGCTAGCACTTCAGATCACTGTCTTTAAATACCTCTGGTACCATTATGTTTGAAACCATTGCTCTTCCTCATTTCAGGTTACCTACAGCTTTCTAGATTTCTTTAGGAAACGGGGGCAATACCTCGATGTTTCATTCAGGACCCAACTGGATAGCGGTCAATAGAATAGTAGCTAGATGCCAGCTGAATTTTCTCTAAATGTTTAACCCCTCATCTCAGTAATCACCCCGGCAAGTGAGTTGTAGATTCATCAACCACTGACCCTGTCACCCCAGTTGCTGTAATAAGTTTGAATACCTGGCCTGTTACCAATCGCTGCTGCTTTCTTCATCTTTGCCTGTCACTGCCCACTGTTTGGGGTGACTGCGTGGACGTGTCAGTCTACGTTTAAGTTGCTCCATTTTCTCACTGCACTAGCGGCCTACAGGGTTGCGTCCGCATGCACCCATTAATTCGGGGGCTGTCGATTCACTGACTTTTTAGCCACTCGCTGATAATCGGATACAGCCTTCAACGCTGTTTTAATAAGGCTATTGATGGTACCCAGTTCCACCAGGATGAGTGTTGTCCATTTCTGATAATTGTGCGTAAAGATTACAGAGACATCTGTGAGTTTCACCATTCCTTTCAGGTCTCACTGAACTGTTCAGTCGAACGGCGAACAAGCAACTACCAACTGGAATATATCGAGCAATGAACCTCCTACCTCATCACTTAATGCTATATTCGCACCTGCAAAACCACGACACCTAAACATCGTGTTTGGAGAAACTCGAATAGCGAAGTTTGCAGAAACACCATATTGGACGCATGAGGTTGACGGAACAACTGCACTCATTTTAAACAGTTCACACCCATGGCCGGAGATGCCAGTCTTGTCTAGCGGAGCCTGTCACCTGATTTACTAGAGTATGAACTTTGAATGCTGCATTATGTGGTTCGGAGCACGGCTTCAGGAAGCAAGAGATGCTGTGAACCACCACATAGTTCTGGGAAATAATTATTTGGCGAATTACTTGATATATCGACTTCAAACTCGACTGATAACAGATGCGTGATTTAAAGTTGAAATCGATATGAAAAAATACAGATTTCCGGTTTCGTAGCATAAACCACGTATCTACTAAATATCACATACGTAATCATACCTCGACATGAGCAAAGTCACCTTGAATATTCAAAACACGACCGGGCCACCAAGCTCCAGGAGGACCATTCTGCGCTACTTCCAAGGAGTCGCTAGCCTCCGCATCTGACACGTCCTTTTTCTTTCCTGTAGAGCCAGAATCCAACCAAACTTCGACAGGATCTCGAGGTGAAAAAGAATGAGTCGAATAATGTGACGCGACTTCGCCATTTTTCACTGAGCTAAGTTGAGTATTTAGTTCCTCACCAATGGAAAACCCATTAGGTGCTAACTGCAGATCAGAAAGACCAACTTTTATCGGATTTGCACTGAAAATTGATAGAGATGAAGTGAAAGGTAATGTCTATGACCACCTACACATTAAAATAAACCGGTGTTAATATTAAAACAAGTTATGTTAGACGGAATACCTAAGGAAAATTTATGATGTCTAGGAAGTTTTTACCATGGATTGATATTTGCTGAAGCACTACTGAAAACCTAGGGGCAGTGAACAGGTACTTCTCAGTTTTGTAATTCTGAGGGAACCGCATCGACAACCCTTGAAGAATCATGCTACTGTTGGCTGACAAGCGTAAGATTAAAAAATTCAGATGCCAGCAGCGAGAATTGGCTTCCCTGATTTTAGTCCCACAAGAAATTCCAAACTACGAAAAAGTGCTGTTGAGTATTCAATTTAACAACGGTTATGCAGACCAAAACAAGAGGCCCCGGTCTCAAACCTGAGGTATATAATTGAAAACCAAGTGCCGAAGTCGACTGACGACTTCGCCAATAAAGAGGAAGAACCACATACCTGTTTCACATTAAAGAATAGAAAAAGAAGTACTTTACTGCGAGATTTCTCGCATCACCAACGCATTTTTAAGTCGCAGCAAGGGGAATATTACGACCATGTGTTGCAACCTGAAGGGAACCCCCAATCTACAAGCCGACCGAACATCGGCCCTATGGTTGTAGAATGGCACAATTTGGTTTTTATTGAGACAAATCTGAGTGAGTCATTTTAATCGAGATAAATTTGCCCTAAATATACCCACGGTTGTCATTATACTTTAGAATACACTTAAGAAGACACGCTGGAGTGTATGTGCTCTCTTTTTCATCTTGTTTGGTACTTCATCATCACGAGGACAAAAATACCTTTCGCTTGCAGACCTGTCTTTGCACATACTGATGACCACAAGCTAGCACAACCGGTGGCCACTGTTTTTCCGAATACTCTCGCAAAAACAGTCGTGCAATTATGAAGATATCAGTATTATACTAATTCCATAGTAAAAGTAAGATGAGCAACTAACCTTGTTGTGTATTTAATTGTACACACAGTTTTATCGATACAAACTAGTAGTGCCTAGGAAAATAGTCAGGTCACTTGTTAGATATTACCGGGATTTTTTGGTGTTCGGAACCGATTTGCTCAACTGGGATGGCCGATTCCATCACTGAAACCAAACAAATAGACAAGCAACGCAGTGGTTCTCAAGGTCTACACAAACGTATGCATAAAAACAACACCTTTGTCCAGTGTAAGAATGTGCGAATTTCAAATCTTCCAATTGAGCCTTTCTAGACACCCAAGCAACTGTTGTGATCAAATACTGTCGTATTGTTTCTAGTCTGTCATCACCATCTTGGAATATAATTAAACATTGCCAAAACTTAACTCCCAGTTACGAATATTTTCATCTTGTCTGCAAGTAATTTACTGTAATGGCGATAGTTAGATTATGCTTGCACATTAGTTTTGCCAACAAGTGCAACAATCTGGAAAAGACAATATCTCAACAGGAAAATCGGCCAAGTGAGCTGAATAAACTACGTAACATTTCGATAATTTAGTGCGGTCACTTAGGTTTCAGCGGGTTTGAAGGTCCAATGGATTTCCCTAAAACAATGCCCTGGGTTTTAAAGGGAGTCGCCATTGACTTTGAACTTTATATTTTTAGCGGACCGGTTAAGCTGAAGGCATATGTTCAAGCCTCTACACCAACTGGTACACGTTCGTATTACGTCGCTTTGCTCGTACGCAGTCTACTGGCTAGATAGTCGAAACGTATTCGCATTTCAATACGGTTCGTCACGTACGCTGTTTCTATCCAGTTGCCCTGTTGTACTGTTTCTTGGTCTCGCACCGGAGGGAATTCTACAGGTACGAGGAATTTATGATTGGCCTCTGTCAAGTTCGCATGAGGACAATACTTAGAGATGGTTATCCGAGTGGTATCTTAATAATTAGTTCTCGACTCACTTATATTCCTCTTGTCCGGTGGTGACTTATTGGCTCGCCTTCTATAAAGTTTAGTATAAAATAACTACAACCAGCGGTACTTTTATCTCATAAGTTAGTCTATCGATTATTTGTGAGTGTGAAACCGATAAATTGCATTTAATTAAAGCCGAAGAATGTAAGATTGCAGACTGAGTTTAGTCCCCGACTATGTTTCGTTCACCTGCCAAACGTGTCTCGCAATCGACCGTAGGGAAGAATCTTGCTATCATTCATGTTAGGGACCTAGATGCTTGCAAAATTGTCGACTGACGTCTGGCAGAAGGGGGTAACGTCTTTGTGCTTAGTCCCAGAACATCGTGGTGAATAACCTTAGATTTTTCGAAGCAGTGTTCTGGTGAGTGGGAAACATTTAAGCAGGCATGCCACCGTAAATTAAGAGGAACGTGCATACCCTGGAACAAGAGTATGAAAAGATTCTTGAAAAGTTATCTAACGGACCAGACAACCACACCAAGACCGCTTCGTGAACGTTAATAGTGGATACTTTTCAATTTAATAACGGCATGTGATGGTTGTATGATCCCCCAGGTTCAAACAGAACACACTTCGAATTTGACTGGAAGCCAATAAGCAGAACACTTAGGAAGATGAACTAGAATCCGAGAAATCAATTCGGTTGTCAAAACTCAAAAACCGTAGAGTTACAAAGAGACTGTATACGGTCCTTAAATGGACTTTTAAAAATGGGGTGAATTCCAGATGGGGATAAAATGGCATGATAAATGGGTTATTCTGATAGTTACTTTCCCTTTTTAGTACACTTGATATTGACATTTATCATGTCACAGCTTTACTGGCGCAATGTTTAGGTCTTTCCAAGTCTCGTTGGATCGACTACGGGTTTTTTAAAACCGGAGCGCCCTCTAGTATCACAGAAGTGGGATCCAAGTTGGGTCCCTTTCGCCTGTATCACAAAGGTAAGTTCAAAGGGTTTCCTTCTGCCTGCCACTTCACGATGCCGACAACAACCAAAGGCTGGTCATGCTGAGTTGGTGGCGAGGTAACGAGTTAGTTACGCCCCATCCAAAAGGGATTTCTGACCTCCTCAAGATGATATTCTGTCCATCCAACATACCATTGAGCAGGACTTCGAAAGTTGCAAATTCTCACTCTAAAGTGTATTTTGTCCTCACTTCTTGGGAGACATTCACCTAAACAAGGTCTCTATCCAAACTCAGGACGTTACCTAATAGGGTAATCGAAATTATTCGTGATACGGAGCCGTTATGATGCACCTAAACCCATCCACTATGGTGTTCAAGTCCTGCTTTTAGGTTACCTTCTTGCTTCAGACAATGATCAGGATCGCTTTCTGATAGTGCCGCATATCAACTCGTTGTTTCAACCGCCGTACGAACACTACTCCTTTGTCACCTCTAAAACCTCAAGCACAACCGAAACCTCGCTCACAACTAATCGACGCTCTTAATGATGTCAATGTGTCAGCAGAAGCAGCCGCGTAGTATACGAAGAATGGGTGTTTTGGGAAGGAAAGGCTCGTTTTGACTGTTTCGATGCAGACTTCGCCACACAGACAGCTCATCGAATGTGCGTTCACTGGTCAGTATATTAAAAACTTTCCGGGCAGTGACTTTCGTGTGGGGCGTTCTCGATTAGCAGAAAAGTAGTAAGACTGGTGACGTTCAGGGGTGAGGCTAAGCTTCTGTACTTGTTGATACCGAAATGGATGGTGAGGTATACTTGGTACGATTTTGCTGGTTTCTTTCGAATAAGTTCCGAAGCATGAAGACAGTGTTGCTCTCTCAACGTCTAGGCTCAGAGTGGCGCCTATGAAGAAAACGAGACAGCGGAAGACAACGATAACCACCAAAGATTGGTTAATGAGAATGAAACCCCATGAGGCTATAGAAGGTTTAGTGGTATTTTGTACTGCGAAAAGTTGCGACCTCACTCTTCTAAGTCACATTCTTCAGGTTTAAATGGTACTGATGAAATCATTTTATTTCATGTTGGTGCACCAGTAATGGTGATTATCTACGATTGGTTATATGTGGAGCGCTAAGACAGTATGCAGATGGAGGTGTAAGGATTATTTAGAGGTAAATGAGGGTGATATTGGTGGCTCTTATGTAAGAAAGGTGGTGCATGTAACAAGGATTAGATGCATTCAGAATGGAATCAGGAGTAACCACCCACCGTTCGGCATAGAACCAGCATGAATGATCCATTGAGAAAGGCGGAAGCTGTAGGTATTTAAGCAAGAAACACAAGATAGCGGGAAGGGCATTCATAATTAGTGCCTTGTGAAGCCTGTGACAATATGCTGCATGGGGTAAAAATAGAGCACAACTTCATCCCATGGAAAGGGACTTCACATCATTATTCGGCACCAGCCGTCATGCAGTGATTTTTATTGTTGTCTTCCAAGAGATGCTTTTCGAAAATGGTCTTTTGATTTTATTCTCACCGGATGCTTTTCCGGTACTATGGCAACTGGCTTCCGTTGCCGGACAGATGAGAGTGAAACTGACGTGCTGCCGTCAACAAACCTGCTAACCCTTCCTACTTTTTGAAATAATGGGCCCTTAAGAGCGTTTTCTTTTCTAGCATCCATCATATAACTACCTGTACCCAATGCCTACACTCCCTTTTTATACAGGCACCAACTTTCGAAGTAAGTTATTGTGGCGTGCAGAGCTACTTCGAGCAGATGAACTAATGCCCCCAACCCGTGACAATCTGTGGTTCAGCGTATGAGTATAGATGCAGCGATTTTTTTAGAAACAGAATAAGAGAGTTAGTTCGACGGGTGCGTCGCAGCCTATTTATTCACACGTATGCTGTGGATTTTGATGGGAAAACGAAAAAGGGTGTTGGCGTCTTTAATCCCAAGATGACAAGTGGAATAATACCTGAGTTTCAAATCGTAGAATTAGCTGTAATGGGCCAAGGTTGATTTGAACTACAACAAGGTCTCGAAACACAGAAGATAATGCTGAAGCTTATTCAGAATGTTGGAGTGGGGCATTATAAGAAAGGAAAACTAAACATTTTGACGCCCTTGATAGGTTAATTAGGCAACTTTAGTTTCGAGTACCGTAGGGTTTTCTTTCGGTTAATTTTACTGCATTGAAATCTCCATTCACAGAAGATTTTGAGGTTCAACATCCATACTCTTAGATAAACAGCCTCTAACCGATGGAGGTGACGTCCACCATTGTATGGTATAATAGGGGATGTAAGAGTGGTGAGACATTGTCGGGTCTTTTCTACTTCCTGACTGTCAGCGGGATGTAGGCAGATAAGTATGAGTGGACCATATTCAAAGTGAGGCAGTCTGATTTGATTCAGATAAAAATTCCGACGATTGAAGCCTCTGGTATACTGCGATTTGGAGCTTTGTATTGGGGTGCGTTCCAGAAGGGCAACATAGCCGAAATACTTTATTGCAACGTTGCAAGTATTGCTTAGTTGTGGGGCGGAAGATCGATCAGTAAACTGTTATTGCGAGATCATGAAGCCAAACGACCGTATATTCAGTGGAAGCACTCGTATGTTAGACCAATGTCATTTTGTAAGGTGGTACTGATGCCCCTACACCGATCTGTGTGAAGGGTGCACACGACGTTCAGGCCACCCGCAAAGGAAAGGTTATGCCCAATACAAAGCGGGTGTATAAATAATTTGCGTGCAGCATAACAGGAGAAAACCTTAAAATCGGACCGTGGGTCAAAACCTTGGTAACACTGCACAGAATGGAAACGCGTTAGCCTATTTCGACACCCTGAATGCGGTTCTCCTGAAATTAGGTAGCACACTCGTGGAACATACCAGTCATCCAAAACGAAGGGTGGTGCACTCCCCTGAACGCTCTAGTGAAATCGAAATAACTGGAAACAACTACATTTTCCTCACCTCTGCCGTCGGTTATAACAATTATATATATATATATATATATATATATATATATATATTGAATAACAAATTACGGACACATAGGGTTTTTGCGGGCAATACCTGAATGCCATTGTTCCCGGTGGGGCTAAGAAAGTTTAAGAGGAATAAGTCGTCATGGCATACGTAGTCCGCTAGAGGACGCAACTATTTGCATGCTGCTGGTAACAAATGTTAAATGATAACGCTTTCCCGACACGGCGGTGGGGAATGGCAACACAGGTGTTGTCACTCAGTATAAGCTTCAGCCAGGCAAATATGGTTAAGCCTCAACACTTCAGCTAATGGGTCGCATAAACAAAGAAAGTACATAGCATATCAAACGCCGAGCATACCTAAAGCTGAAAAAATTGAATATTACACGGGTTTCCGGTTTATAGAGAGCGTGTAAAACTAGATCTAAATCCCGGTGTGGACCGAGGATAAAGCTTGGGATAAGTATTACATGGTATCATGCAGCATATAACGACTATTTAGGGTTGTTGTTGAAAACAACTTCATAGGAATAAATTGATCTAAAGTTGTAACCCAATCCAG